TTAGCGAACCCGGATAAGCCAACAGCTCATCAGCGACTAGACTGGCTACACTGAGAAAAGAGTTTAGTTACGTCAACTAAATATGTTTTTCTCAACACATTATTTGGTTATAGTTACATTATTTGTTTATAGTTACCAAATCATGTGTTGAGAGGAATATATTTGGCTGACTTTTTTCTGAGTGTAGGAGAACATCATTGAACAGTGTTTAGGCGACTGATAACACCCCCAGCGCCTAAAGGTATGCTGCACCCCAAGCAACTCGTTTCAAACCGGATATAAAGAACGTTTTGTATATGCAAGCATCTCATATTAGAAATTATTTACGCACGTGCACTTCTCAACTGCCGCGGAGCAAAACCTACTAAAGTAGTTATGTAATTGCTGGTATCCCAAATCATGCTCAACAAACTCGCTTGACGCAGGCAGCCAAAGCCAAAGCGATACAAGCTGTCGGGGTTCTATATGGCTTTTAGCATACAGAGGTGGTCACGGTGCCTACCCACATTTTTGAACTTAAATATATAACCGATGCTCCTCCAGAGTTTTCCAAACGGCAGCACTCTTCATGACTTACTATCATGAAGAGGTGAAAACTGGCTCCAACTAGGGCGTCCAAAATTTTGTAAAATATAGTACACTTACAATATATATAGTATTTTATGTAAAAGAACAAAGTAAGTTAAAATCTTTTTTCTCCAATATATTTCTTTTCATTTTGGCAGTTTTTCACAATTCCTTGTTAACCACGAAAATGTTGTATGCCTTTATCACAATCAATATTTAAATTAATATAAATCAAAAGTTAATTTTTTGTTAGTGAGGTAATCGTTTTGTTTCTCTCATCTCGCCAATTCACATCCATAACAATAACAACTAAAAAGTATGGGAATACAAAAAAGCATTTTTCCTGTAAAAAGTCAAACATTTTCCTTTCAAATTACAAAAAAAAAGAAGCCGAACAAATGGAAGCAATAAATTAAAAGTTGATTGCTAGCCAGGAACATTAAATCGCATACGAAACGGTAATAACGGGTGATTTTTTAAGAGCTTGATAACTTTTTTTAAAAAAAAAACGCATAAAATTTGCAAAATCTCATCGGTTCTTTATTTGAAACGTTAGATTGGTCCATGACATTTACTTTTTGAAGATAATTTCATTTAAATGTTGACCGCGGCTGCGTCTTAGGTGGTCCATTCGGAAAGTCCAATTTTGGGCAACTTTTTCGAGAATTTCGGCCGGAATAGCCCGAATTTCTTCGGAAATGTTGTCTTCCAAAGCTGGAATAGTTGCTGGCTTATTTCTGTAGACTTTAGACTTGACGTAGCCCCACAAAAAATAGTCTAAAGGCGTCAAATCGCATGATCTTGGTGGCCAACTTACCGGTCCATTTCTTGAGATGAATTGTTCTCCGAAGTTTTCCCTCAAAATGGCCATAGAATCGCGAGCTGTGTGGCATGTAGCGCCATCTTGTTGAAACCACATGTCAACCAAGTTCAGTTCTTCCATTTTTGGCAACAAAAAGTTTGTTAGCATCGAACGATAGCGATCGCCATTCACCGTAACGTTGCGTCCAACAGCATCTTTGAAAAAATACGGTCCAATGATTCCACCAGCGTACAAACCACACCAAACAGTGCATTTTTCGGGATGCATGGGCAGTTCTTGAACGGCTTCTGGTTGCTCTTCACTCCAAATGCGGCAATTTTGCTTATTTACGAAGCCATTCAACCAGAAATGAGCCTCATCGCTGAACAAAATTTGTCGATAAAAAA